GTAAGTAATAAATTAGGTTTAATATTTTCTAATACTAACATTATTGACAGTTTGTAAGGGTCTATACTATTGATTGAAGAAGCATTTGCTATACATAGGCTACACCCATTGCTTAACAATGGGCTAAAAGCTTCAAAGGAGCTTTCTTTGTTTTTGTAGGCAACTTTGATCAGTAGGGGAAGGATTTGATCAGTAGGGTAAGGATTTGATCAGTAGGGTAAGAATGCTTTGATCTTTAGTTTATTCATAGCTATGTCACCTACTAGGGGTAATGTTTTGATTGGTAAAACACTTTTGGTGCTTGAGCATATAAGCTATAATAATAATAAACTTGCAAATATGGATATTTTTTCATTCCTGATGATGACATAATTAATGTCGAAATATTGAATCCCGACACGATGGCGTGCATTTCTATACTTGTTTGGTGTATCATCTCTGTTTCTCTCTTCCAAATGATTTAAATATTTTTTTTAGTCTTTGTAGTGTTAATTTTTCCTTACGCCTGCTTCATTTTAAGCCTGTTTTATGTTTTTTTTTTTTTTTTTTTTTTTTTTTTTTTTCATTTTCATTACTTTATCAGATCAAAATGTCTTCAATGCCTTAAAATCATATTGTATATTGTTTGGTGTATCATCTCTGTTTCTCTCTTCCAAATGATTTAAATATTTTTTTAGTCTTTGTAGTGTTAATATTTCCTTAAGCCTGCTTCATTTTTAAGCCTGCTTTAGTTTTTTTCTCCTTTTTTTTTCATTTTCACTTCTCATTTACATACTTGAGGACATCAATATAATATATATTTTTTTTATCCATTTTATAAATTTTTTTAAATTTTTTCCCCAAATTTAGGGCAGGGCCATTTTAAGGAGTAGACCATCACATTATGCCCTTAAAATGATGAAGAAACAGGCCCTTTTCCCCCAACTTTGTAGGGGTGATGGGCCCAAAGAAGTCTTATCTAGGGTCTTAAAGCCTCTAATTAGAATCAGTAAAAATTTCCTTAACAAATATCAGATGTATAATAATTTTGCTTCCTATGTTTTTCTATAGAGACCCTTACATTTTTTTTAAAACTTTTTTTTTTTGTAAATCTGCTGTTAAAACTATTTTTTTCTCTGTCTTATTGGAAGGTGATGTTATAGTCATTTGATTCCTTTAAGTAGCCAAAAATTTTGTTATTTTAAATGTGAAATTTTTTTCCCCTTGAACCCGAAAAGTCGAAAAACAGGCCCTGCACTTACGGTACAATAAACCTAAGGGCCGATATTCCGTCTTTCCAGATCAGGTGATCTAATTTGGGGTAATCACTTGACTGTTATGGGTCATAGTTTGCGGCTTCGTAACATTTTCACTAACAAAAATGTATTTATCTTTCTTCATTTTGAAAATGAATGCTGATAAGGCTTTGCAATTACTTTTGTACGATTCCCTAGAAGATATTAATGGCAATGATTATACTGAACGCGACTTAGATATCGAAAGTGAGATAAAAAGCATAGTTTCTAGTACTAGGCCTAGCCCTTCTTCAGATGAATATGATAGCTGCAGGCCTAGGTGTGCAGGTCGGTAATACCAGTAGCAGTAGTAATCATATATGATTTGTTTTCAAATATGGATAATTTCTCCAAATAACTCAGGGTCAGCATGATGTAAGTTCAAAGATGTAAGTTCAAAGGGTTAAAACAAACGGTAATCAATGATGAGCTAAAAATAACTTTAGACCCAGGAAATAATAATAATAATGTTGTATTTATATAGTGCATATTGCACATTGCCCCTATGCGCTTTACAGAGAAATAATATAACAAATAACAATAAAATAGTAACAATAAAATAAAATAAAAATAATCATAATAACAATAACAATGAGACTAAACTACTACTATTCCTTAAACTAATTAGTGGTTGGCCGTTAACTCTGAGGAGCTCATCTTCAACTTCAAAAATAAATGTGCATAATATGAATAGGCCTACAGATCATTTTGTACATTCATTTAAATTGTACTGTGCTTTTACCTACCCTTTTCTGATAAACTACTCCTATTCCTTAAACTAATTAATTGTTGGCCGTTGACTCCGAGGAGCTCATCCGCCCTTTGTTCAGCTATTGGTTTTTCTTGCTGCTGGGTGACCATAAACATCCTCCCCTCAGCAGCCACTAAGACATTTCAGAGGGTTGTCAGTTTAGTCGCCGACGCTTCGACTGGATGGAGTTTAATGTCGTACCCAGGACGTCCCTATCTACCTTAAGCTATGCTTAACTACTCTTAAATACAGAACTACTCTTAAATACAGGAAAGGGTAAAAGTCGAAGGTTAATAGGGAAGTCTTTAAAATTGGCTTTAGGCTTTAATAATAGATATTACATAAGTGATGTATTTATAGATGGAAGTAATAGTAATGTAGCTTGCAAGGCTTAACATGTTAGAAAAAAAAAAAAAAATATGATTTGTAGGTGAGAATTCAAAGCTCTTAAACTATTTCTAATTTAGGGTCAGATGTATGAGATATAAGAACTCAATATCAATCTAATTGAATAAGGCATATGTTAATCCTCTTCTCCATAAATCAAACACACTACCATTTTCTCTTCCCTTTAAACCAATTTTCAAAGAAGTAGCATTTATGTTGGTCAATTTCTCATGTTTAATCCATTTTTCATAGCAATAAAATTGTAAAATCATAACAGTAATAGTAATATTTTCTTCATAAATCATAAATTTCACACATTGACAAGAAATTAATTTCATGTGAATCAATTTTAATTACCCCAGTCATTGGCACAAAATGTATGGTGATGCATACAATTAGGTTCCTGGGGGAATGTTCCCACAACTTAAACCCCAGAATTCATATTTTGAAACATGTCAACTTAATAAGCCGGTTGAATGCAATTTCTCTGGTCTTACTATGTACTTGATCAATGTAATACCAAAAAAATAGATCCAGTGTGAACATTTTGCACAAAATTCAGCAACATAATCTAGGGGTGCGCGGGGTATGCACATTCTCCCCTAAAAAACCTGCACCCCCAGTTGCCCTTACCCCGATTGAAATTTTTTTATCATGCACAAGTAGATAAATATCACCTCACATCACCTTATTTTGTGAGCTGGCACCCCATTTCAAGACTTTTAACTTGCACTTGGTCGAATTACCGAAGTCACACGTTAAGTTTCTAAGCGTATCATACCTGTCAATCAGAGAATATCAAGGATGTTTTTTACCGAACAGAAAGGGTCAAATGGATGAGCATGCTGTGGTAAACTCCTCTTGATATGTGCAATTAAACATTTCATCACACATTTGTGTGAACAACGTTCCAAATGCATGTTTTAGTACTTAAACATTTTTCTGAATTTTGTGATTGCGTATTTGAACAGAAGATTTGTCGGGTGAATAGTACATGAGATTTTACCTAAGGATTTTCGTTATGTAGACAGGGATCCCAAGTTTCCCGCAACTTGCAGGAGTCTCCAGGAAGTCAGGAAGGCCTCCCGTGAGCAAGCAAGTATCTCCTCTCGGAAAATAACCCATCTACCGCAAATTCATGATATTTGTATTTTTTTTACCAGTTTTAAATACTGTACAGTATTATACAATTGTCTCCCAGAAGACAGTGTCAATGAGTATCACCATCCATGACAGAATATAATTAAATGTCTGTTAAGAAAAAGATCTCCCGGATGTGGATTCTTCCACCTTGGGACCCCTGTGTATATGTTTCTTTTTTAGTTCCAGTTTGTTTTATGTTTCCATCTCTAGCGCCTTGAGAATTTTTCTTAGTGGATACTGGTATGTGTGCAAAATAAACCGTATTCATTATTATTCTCATTATTATAATATTATTATTATGTAGCAAAGCCAATTTCTACTATCTGTTGTATCAAAAGTCATTACTGAAATGTTTATACAGTGTGCATTATCTATAACTTCATGTGGTGGTGTTGTGGTACTGGTGATGGTAGCTGTCATAGTGAATGTGGTGGTGGTGGTGTAGGTGATAGTATTGGTGATGATGATGGAAGTGATCGTAGTGGTGGTGGTGGTGATTGTGATGGTAGTGTGATGGTGATGGTAGTGGTGATGATGATGGTAGTGGTGATAGTGATGATGGTAGTGGTGGTGGTGGATGTGGTGGTAGTGATGATGATGGTAGTAGTGATGATGATGGTAGTGGTGATAGTGATGGTAGTGGTGGTGATGATAGTGGTCATGATGATGGTAGTGGTGTTGGTGATGGTAGTGGTGTTGGTGATGATGATGGTAGTGGTGATGGTGATGATGATGGTAGTGGTGATGATGATGGTAGTGGTGATAGTGATGGTAGTGGTGATAGTGATGGTAGTGGTGATGATGGTAGTGGTGGTGATGGTAGTGGTGGTGGTGATGGTAGTGGTGATGATGATGGTAGTGGTGTTGGTGATGATGGTGGTGGTGGTAATGGTGATGATGGTTGTGGTGGTGGTAATGGTGATGATGGTAGTGGTGGTGGTGATGATAGTGATGGTGATGGTAGTGGTGATGATGGTAGTTGTGATGACAATGGTGGTGGTGGTGGTGATGGTAGTGGTGATGATGATGGTAGTGGTGGTGGTGTTGATGATGGTAGTGGTGATTATGAGGATGATGGTGGTGGTGGTGATGATGATTGTGGTGGTGGTAGTGGTGGTGATGATGATGGTAGTGGTGGTGATGATGATGGTAGTGGTGACAGTGATGGTAGTGGTAAGTGACGATGATGGTAGTGGTGGTAGTAATTGTGGTGATGATAGTGATGATGGTTTTTTATTTTTTATTTTTACTTTTTCTAGATTTTATCAGAAATGTTAATTCAGGAGACAATATGAAAATTACAAATTAATTATATTAAAAAGTCCAGCAATGTTCAGTACACATCAACTATAATTTGATGAAGATTACTCTAAAAATATTTTGTAAATAGGTTATTGATCATCCTTCATCTTCTTTTATGAGTGTTTCATTATTGTTTCCCTCAGAAATTTAATTTGAGTTGTGTTAGCTGGCGACGTTTAACGGCTCTGTTCTCAGCCCCTGGCTACATAGCGCTCAGCTTAGCCAATCTTCTCTTCCTCTCTGGCATCGATATGGGTTATTTATATTTCGAGAGGTTGATTATTAAAAGTAAGTATGAATATCAAATTTATATTTTATCGTGATTAAGCTTGCCAAACAAATTAGTAAGCATATAAAAATTTTCAAATTTATTCACAAGATGACGAAATAGAAATGCTTATATGATGATGATAAAGATGATGATGGCAGCAAAAACCAATGATGAAAATATATTGATAATGAGACAATGATAATAATAATTAGATTATTAATTATAAGTTTTTGTCGTGTTTTAACAAAATGTAACTGTTATTGTGCTCTACCTTTATTAAATTTGAAACTTACAGTAGTGCTTGAATAATGCTTGACTAGAGCTGTATCTTGGGGGTTAAGATGCTTGCCGTCCGATCCAAAATTCTAAAAATTCCGGCATTTTTTTTGTTACACCTAAAACGGCTTCAAATTCAAATTAAACGTAATATTGCAATTGAACATATAAGTCAACCCAAAGTCATTCTGTTGGATGTGAAAGGAAAATACAGGTCTCCCTCCAATTAAGGACCAATTTTGGTACCAAGGTTTACATGGTCTTTAGTCTCTGATTAGAATAATAAAGATAAAAGACATGTTAATATGGGTACACAGAAAATTGTCTCAAATTGGAGGTGGTGTTTTATTGGAGTTGTCTTTAATTAGAGGAAAACCTGTGTGATGAAAAACATTAGGGCTTTATTTTGTTGATATATAACCCCCTCAACCAAAGCTACTTTTAAAATGTAAATACCTAGTATAAATGTATAGTCTTTTGTTTAAAATCAACAAGGAAATTTTGATTAGGCCACGGGGACCAGGGCAGCTGCAGTGCAGTGCCTGTCATGGTCAGTACACCAGGAGTAATCATCTATACTTTTCAAATACATTTTGCCCTCCAATTCGAGACTACCTTTGGGACCTGAAAATTTAGGGTGGTCTCGTGGTTCGGTTTCCAATTTTGGATTGGATTGGATTTATTTGAAGGATCCACTAAAGTCTAGAAGAAGACTTATTTCCAGTGGGGTCCTTCTGGTGGGGATTGAACAGTACGGGAGACAATTACCCTACTCTTTTCCGAAGAGTGTACTGCGTTCTTTATTGTGCACATGGGCCATAAATGCACACAGGACCAACGGCTTAAACGTCTCATCTGACAGACTGTGCGCTATTGTAACTTCTCCATGGTTCAGCGCACACACAGTGGCTACCACCACATTAGCCGTCTGAGCTATCTAGAGGGTTAGTTTTGTGTTTAAATGAACTGAAAATTGTTGTTTTGTTCTTTGAAAAAGGGGTCTTGAATTACAGAGGTCTTTAATGGGAGGGTGCACTTTACTGAGGTCTTTTTTGGTGTGTGTTCTATTACAAACATGGAGCAAGTGGCTTAACATCCCTTTAAAAGGATGGAGTAATTAGATCTAAGTGTCTTTCTTAAGGACACTAACAAATACAACAATGGCAGTTTTGAACTATTTCATCTCACACTGAAGTCCAATCCCAATACCACTGTGCAAACTCACCCTTGAAACACCTTTTAGGCCAAATAAAAAAAAATACTAGATTCTTGTCCAATCACGCATCCGTTTTCTCTTTTTTTTGTTTTTTTTCTTCTTTATTTTATGAAATGTATGAAAATGTAGCTAACTCGCATTAGTAAAATTCCTCTCTCGATCGTTCGTAGTTGGGATGCATATGTCTGTTTGTTTTACTTGCTTTCAATGTATCTACTTGTTGAAAGTAGTAGCTGTTCCCCATCCACCATCTTGGATTTGCCATCTCGGAGTTGAAAAAAAAAAGTGCCCTCATTCTCTTTTTTCAAAATATTAGGACGAGAAACTACTTCTGTTTTTTACTTGGCCTTAAGATTCTTATTTTAACGTACAAGGCCTTATTATTCCTCCAACCTTTAAATATTGTTGAACTAATTTTTATAGTATGAACCATCTCCTTGTCGCTGCTCTCCTAAAAAATCATAACATTTCATACATAGTCCCATATTATGGCACTCTCTATGTTTATTGAAAACTCACTACACAAAAATCTTTTAAAATTAATTTAAAAATCTTCTAATAGTACACTCTGAGTGTTAATAACTACGTCATTTTTTGAAATTGACATAATATTTTTTGATTGTTGTTATATTATTTGCTGAAATGCAGGTATACATTTGATACTTAATGTTAGTGACTTTTCTGAGAAAATTTGCTAGAAGGGCAAAATAAAGAGGAATGAACATTTTAAAATGTTTTAGGAGGTTGTAAAAACCTAAAAATATCTAATTCCTTGATTTCTCTAGATTTTCACTCTAGATTCATTGATTTTTATGCCCTTAGATAATGGTGTTTCCCAGAAGGGAAAAGGGAAGAAGAATGAACATTTTAGAATGATTTAGGAGGTTGTAACAGTTGTATGCCTAAAAATATCTAATTCCTTGATTTCTATTGATTTTTACTGAGATAATTGTGTTTCCCCCGAGAACACAAAACATAAATACAGGAATTGCCCAATTTATTGATCTTTACCCCTTAGATAATGGGTTCCCCCCAAGATAGCAGAACTAAACAAGATGGAATTTACCCCAAAAAAATGTCAGCTTTCTTGATTTCTGTTTGTGTTACCTTAACTAAGGGAGGTTTTGCTCCTAGATATGTATGTTGTTGATTTCCCAGCTAATATGATGCAATAAATACAATTGATTATCTGTCAGATGTCTTGTCTTCTCTCTAGTGTTTTATGTTGCATCCTGACATATTCTAATATAGTGGTTCGATAGTCTTAGGATTCTGGTGTACTGATCCTTCTGGGTACCATGCTATAAATAGCTAGCAATTAAATACTGCGTGCATGACTATGTTGAAGTTCAATCCATCTGAACAATCATATGTCTTTAACACAATTATCTGCAATAATATATTCTTAATGAATTTTGTCTAGCTTAATAATTTGTATGTTGATTTGTGTGCTGGTTTTCTAAGCCGACAGTAAATGTATTTACCGTAGTACGTCTCAGCAGTTTATTAGTGTGTTCAAGGTTGGACAATGAGCAACAAATCGTTGTTGCTAAGTTTAGCTCACATTACAAAAGAACACACAATGCAACTTACTGTACATTAGCGTGTAATTACAGTTAATTTTCACAACAGCTAAATACTGTACTTCACTCAAGCTTCAATAATAATAAAGTGATAATACTGTATCAAAACTGTACCTGGTAGGTTCAAACACAAAATGTGCTGAAGATGTAAAATTGTTTGAATTTTTTTGACCTTTGACTTAGTCATGTGCACTTGAAAGTATCAGATGGTTTTAACTTGGAGGTCAGGGTTCAATCTTGTGCTGTGCTTTTCAGTGGTGTTCTTTTTAATCAAGGTACTGTATGTAGGAGTGGTTTGGCGCAGTGGTTGTGGTTCTGCTTCTCAACCTTAAGGTCGCAGGTTCAATCCCTCGCTGTAAATTTCGCTTGTGTCCTTAGGCAAGGCATTCTGTCTACAGTTGACTTTCTCCACCCAATAGTACAAGTGGGTACCTGGTAGGTTCAAACACAAAATGTGCTCATACAGCTGCAACATCATGGAATTCTCCCTTCGGTGCTGAGTGTGTGTTCAATATGTGCTTGATCCAGTGGGGAGGGTGGAGGGTGGGGTGGTAATAATGTAAAGCGCTCAGAGGCCTTGTTAGCATGAAGCACTATATAAGTCTAACATATTATTATTATTATTATTATCGTTATTATTATTCTCGTTATTATTATTTTATTCACATTTTGACTCCACCCAGTGATGTACCTTGTATAGAATGTGATTAATAATAATACTGATTACTGCAGTAGCTACAACGTAATGGAATACATTTACCGGGGAGCTGAGTATGTATTGCTTAATGTGAACCGCCTCAAGGCTTTTGCAAATGCCATACAAGACTGACTATTATTATTATTATTATTATATTTGATAAATAGACTGGGAATGATAATGTGAAGGTTATATGAGCCTTGACTTGATAATGTTGCAGGGTGGTACACTGTTTGTGTCATTGGGAGTGGAGAAGTTTCTTCAACTCCTAAGGCAAGCATTTAACCACAAAGTTTTTGTCTGTTGTCAAATGTTTTTTTTTATATTTTTTTTATTTTATTATGTTATTCTTACTGTTATTATTGTTTTTATTATTATTGTAATATTTATATTTGCTTTATTATTTGTGTCATTTTGTTGTGTTATTATTATTGTTTATTTTTTATATTTTTATATTTACATTTGTTTTATTATCATTATCGTACCACTTCAGGCAAATTTACATGCTTAATTTTTTTGTCTAAAAATTGCGTAACATTTGGCCAAATTTGTGTGAAGCATAGATCACCATTTTACTGTTTATTGCGTTTCTTGTCGAAAGATATTGCTGTATTAGATTACATATAAAAAAACCACAAAATTAATCTATCAGAATGAAAAAATAACGCTAATTTTTTGATGACGTAAGCTACTGTTCCAAGGCAGGACAATGTAACTTAACAAAAATATAAAAGCAGTTACGTTGTCCTGCCATGGGACGGCCGATAGCCTTCTTATCCCCAACAATTATCCCTTGTTGGTCCCCCAGTCCCGGTTTCCCATCACTTGCAAATTGAGTACCAGGACTGCCCAACGTTCGAACTGTGCTGCCGCCTATGATAATTACTCATATGTTTCTTCATTGCAGGTTTTCCAACCGGACCACTGGTGATGTTATTTCTTTACTACTGTATGGTCCAACTTATCTTGGAATGCCACAGAACATGGGGTAAAAAATACCTGTGTGAAAAGGCTTACCTTTGACCTCTGTAACAATCCCTAGAGCAGGAGACACAGAAGGGATGACGTGAAGACTATTAAACAGTATTAGTATTGTTGTTATTATTATTATTATTATCATTATCAGACATCATTGTTATATATAAGGCCAATCATAATTGTCATATTCTTTCATTCTTCTGATGGTGATCAGATTCAGCTCACAAAACACAAGACAATAAACCATTGGTTTTTCTCATTACCCATTTTTTTACTCCTTTGTTTACCTAAAGTCTTATTTTTTTTGTTTAAAAGTGATTATGTAAACCTTCACAAATTATTTAATTTCATTTAATAATAATAAATTGCAATAGTCTATGAGATCAAATTTTTTATATTGTTCTTCCTCATAGTCTTTTTGTTTCTCAACTTCTTTTAATGAGTGGTGTTTTTAGATTTTTCTTTTCATTGAGATGCTATAATTTGTATTATGGACAGGTTAGACCATTAATATTAAAGTATGACCAATGCATTAATCTATTTCATTAATTCATTATTTTTTGAATAATGTAAAAGTTCTATTTTTAGTTAATAGTGTGAAGTAGCAGGAATATGCATATTAATTTCAGTTGTCTACCTGTGATCAGGTGCATAATAAAATATATACGGACAAAGGTGCTGTTTAGATATCCTAGCCTGCCCTCAATACTCTTCCTTTATAGCAGTAACTTGTTTTAATACTCATCCACATTGAAGACTTCTTCTTTTTTTTTTTTTGTATATTTGTAGACACAAATTTTGAAATAAAGAGAAATTGAATTAAATATTTATTTGCTTTCATTTCTTAGATCTAACCATTATAAGTGTACTGTATTTATCATAGTAAATCTAACGTTTGCTTGGCATAGAAAAATGTATGGGAGTGTAACCATATGTGTATTACTTAGGATGCCTACGTTGTAGAGATTATATTAAATAGTCGATACACATGAACTCTTTGCACATAAAATAATTAATTGTATTACGTGACTCAAAGAAATTATAGGACAGTCAATATATCACATTACGACAAAAAACTGTTGTATGCCAATATGTAGTCATGGGGTGCCAATAATATGGTCGTGATGTGATGTCATTATGACCAACTTTTGGTAAGTCACATTTGGTAGCCTGGACGGGGTTTTAGATTTTGATAGCGTGGAGCCTCTGTGATCCACCAAAACAACCACATCTTGGCCATTAGCAAAAGCGGCAACTTCCATTTTGGCAACATTATTTCTGCATTAAGAGGCATTTATTTTAATGAGCACTCCCAAAAAATTGATGTATGTATTCGCTACCTCTTATTCAAACTGCGCACATTCTCTTTTTTTATGAGTTCCAACAAGATTTTCATCAATGATGGTGTCATCAGAACGCTGGACCACACGTAGAGGAAGACTTGCAAAGAACATATAATAATTATGGGAGAACAGCACTCTGTACGGAATAGCCCCCGCCCCTCCCCTTAGCTTAACATGTTTAAAGAATAATAATGTAACTCTTATATACTGCATTCCATACACTCATTGCACTTAACAATGGAAAGAAAATGGATGAACTTTAAAATTTATTAAATTTTGAGAAACATTTACTACCTGTCGAAGATTCAAATGTCAAAACCTCTTTTTTTATAGTCTCATCACCGAGATTACATATCTAATCATTTAACTCCATTATTCTCCCAGGTCGTGATTCACTTACGTCTGACAATAAATTACATCTAAAGGTCAACTAGAATGGAGGGGTCCTACGGGAATCTTTTTTTTTTTTTTCTCCGCAGCCAATCAGTGGAACGGATCACCTGTCAATCTTAAGAGATCACTGATTCTGACAGCCTTTAAGTCTGTACTTAAAATAATTTTATTTTGAAATGTCGGTTACGTGCTGCGATGAGTCAGCACGCCATGAGCATAATTATTGTATGAATATCTGTACATCATAGGTTTTTGTACTTATTACTGTATACAATAACTACATCTTTGTTATTAGTTTATTTCTATGCATGTTTTTAATGTAAACATGCTGTAAAGTATTGCATGATTGGCTGCTATGCCTCTTAGAACCTACTAAAGCTCTGTTAACGCTATCAAATTTTCTTAACAAAAAACTGTTGTATGCCCATATATAGTCATGATGTGCCTATATATGGTCATGGTGTGATGTCATCATGACCATATTTAGGCATGTCGCATGTTTTTGTCAAACAAAATTTGATTGTTTGGACAGAGATATATATCTCGGTATCTTTATTCAAATTTTTTATAAAAAATAAAGTCTAGTTGGCAAAATAAAGTTCCTTAGCAGCTAAAAGCTTAATTGGGAACACTCTTCACAAGCAGCCAGAGAGGAAATATATATGCCTACCTACCACAGGAATGTATTAAAATAAAAAGTCAAAGATACCTTTATTCATCGGTGCTTTATCCTGATACATCATCCAATACAGATATAAAATCATCAAATGCCCAAATGTATATGGAACGTCAACAGCAAGAAACAACCGTACGCTATGATTGATAAATTAAATTAAAAGAAGTGATGATTTAATTAAATATTTATCTGATAACAAATTTGAAGCATGTCATTACACTTGTTATTCTAATGTTTAATCCCATGGATTCTGCCAATGCCTGTTTCATCTGGTTTCAAAAATACACTTTTGATCTATTATTTGTCTCACTAAGCATTATACTGTATCTATGTTACGTGACATTTTATGCACCAAAGTGCACATAGCTTGTTTTTTTTTTTTTGTACTTTCCTTACTAGAATGTTACAACAAATTGAAATATTTGGTAGTACTCTTTGAATAAATTTGTTCATGAAATGATGATAAAAATAAAATATAAATAAAGTTATTCTAAAATTCAAGATAGATAAACCAAACCTGTGATATATGAAATTCTTCTTGCCTGCCTATTTGAAATTTAAAACATTGAAAGAAAAAAAACCACAGAAGTTAAGTGTTATTTTCTGTGAAATTTTACTATAAATAATAATAATAATAATAATAACAATTTACATTTATATAGTACATATTGCACAGTGCCTCTATGTGCTTTACATCAAATTAATATATATATATATATATATATATATAATATATATATATATAATGAAATACTGTATATATATATATATATGTAATATATATATATATATATATATAATACTGTATCTTTATACAAAGGTTAATGAAGAAATTTGACATTAACTTTTATCAATTCTTATATGAAATTAATAGTAAAGCCAAGTTTTTCTGAAAATTTCTAAACTGTTGCTACAGTGTTTTCAGTTCTTCATACCTAGGGCTGGGGACTCACTGCGTCGTAGGACGAATCCAATTCCACTCTCTGTGAGCGATAGGCGACGCAACGCCGTCTGCAGATTGTCGTTAGCAGTCTGAACGGCGGATCGTCATTAAAAATAATCCGTTGCGTGCGCGTCGTCGCGTTGCGTTCTTTATAGGATCGCTTCGGCCGGCGACCGTCGCAGTGAGTAACCGGCTTTAGTCCTTGTGAATTATCTAGTATTCATTACGTATAACTTTAGAAAAAATGTGTCCACAGGGTCTGTGGTTTGAAGCCTGTGGGAACAATCTGTTTTATCAAAATAATTTTCTTTCATTCCAAAATGACAATTTATAATATGATTTATATGTGATTTAGGCCTATATATTATTCATTGCGTGTTATGTAATACTTTTGAGTTAAAAGTGTCTTACTGAGGAAATCAAATCACTTGGCATCATTGTTTATTTGGTCGAGCAGCATTCGGAATGACTTTGCTTCGAATCCTCCAATTAAAGACCGCTTTCTTTGGTCACAGATAAATGTCTTTTTTCTTTATTATTCTACTTAAAGACCAAAGTTGCTAACGACTATAGAAACCCCGGTCCCAAAAGTGGTCTTTTATTGGAGAGAGACCTGTATTATCTTTATAAACAGCAATTGAGGGTTGTCATTTCTTTCTATCTACCATTGTATTCAGGTGCCTATAACAAACCTGTTATCATTATTACTGTTCGGAAAGAAATGAGGCGTATGGTCACACAGGGAGATGGAATGCATCCGGTCGTAGGGTTATAAGTGTTTTATGTCAGTGAGTTATTCACAACTTGGAGCATACAATTTAATTCGTGGGGTAATTTAATGACATTTAAGTGAGAAGCGCATTCAACGATCAGTATAATGCGTTATTTATTCATTAATACTACTCATAGAGGAAACATTTTACTCTCCAGGGTAACGTAATCAATGAACCTAATAGTAATCAACGCACTGTAAAACCCATCTTCAACACACAAAAATGATAATACAAATAGGATGAGAAAGATATTTGTCGGTATGAAATGATGCGTGCCTTGTGGTCCATACTTAATGCTATATCGGCCTCTTGGGCCAATTCAAGGGTAACCATCTACTTACATTTTTTGTTTACATTTCTTCATGTTTGTAATACGGTATTTATCCTCTACTTATGGGCGCAGATAAGTAGGTACGGAGAGAGAGTGAGACGCCCTCTCAAACGCATCGTTTTAATGGCACTTCCCCCCACCCGCTTTCTCAACTTTATATTTTAATATTCAAGAATGCCCTCGGAATTGTTGAAATAACCTTTATTGGGCGAGAACAGAAAGCGATTTTCCGTGAGCAATGATTTTTTGTAACTCTCCTGTGTGTGCTTTCTATGCGAAGAAATACATATACTGTAGTACTAATGATAAGCTGTAATCATTAATATTATATATACGTTTATAATGAAATGGGCTAATGTTGTTGATATAGAAAATGATGATGATTGCATCGACTTGCATTTATGAATATTACATGTTTGACATTGTGCACTGACCTTGAAATTATATTGATAGATGAGCTATGCTGTCTTATAAAGAAGTCGTGTGGATGTACCTTTTCTCTCCCCTTCGCAAGTCCCATAATAAGACTTTATTGAAGCATCAACTTATTAATGGATAAACCCTCTGTAATAAATAGGCCTATAGTATTTTTTAACGGAAGATTGTGTCAATTTTTACAACCCGTTCTTTTCAGCATAGATAAATCTAATTTACTTTCGCTTAATGATTGTGTTTTTTTATTAAGCACTTCCTTGTTTATTGAATGAAGATATAGGCCTACTTACCACAAAAATGATTTTTTTTAAAAACATAAAAATCATAATAACAATAACAACTGGACTTACTATGTCTGTAAAAACAAAATATAGGGTTTTTCCTCATTGCTATAATGAGAAGTGATGTTGAAATTATTTAAAAAAAAAAGAAATTAAAATTTTAGCATAAAAATAATGACATACGGAAAACAAAAATGAAATCATACAAAAAATTATGAAGAGGATCATGAAGTTAAAACACATGAAAACCAATTCGACGTCAGGGAAACTATGACTGCTAATAATATGTAGAATGATGTGATAATGTGATATGCACATCGTTGGTGTATGGCCTTTGCTTAGACAATGTTTGAAAAAGATTCAAATACGGAAAGTGACCAAAGTGCCGTTAAGGAAAACAGTGTGCCAAAAATAATTGAAAAAGTAAAATAGAGAAACGGGATGGAAGAAGAAAAGTAAATTAAAATACAAAAACAACGGTATACCTCCATGGGGAAACTAACTTAAAGATTGCATTAGTGATAGCGAGGGTGATATCGAGACTTGCATTGTGCGCTATATGAGCCGATCCTGCGTAGGCCAGTGCATTTTTAGTTCATAGCGATTCAGTGATTGAAAGCAAAAATTCTTCATGCATATCACCGTAATTTTGCAT